AAAGAAGTCAAACTATATTTGCAGATGACATGATTCTATAGAGGGGGGAACCAAAAGACTCCATGAAGAGACTATTGGAACTCATAAAAGAGTTTGGTAAAGAGGCAGGATATAAAATTAACACACAAAAATCAATAGCCTTTGCATACACAGACAATGCCATGGCTGAGAAAAATCCTCTAAGATCAATCCCATTCACAGTAACTACAAAAACAAATACCTTGGAATAAACTTAACCAAGGAGGTATAAGATCTCTATGATGAAAATTACAAAACCTTGAAGAAAGAAATAGAAGATGATACAAAAAATTGAAAAAGCTTCCATGTTCATAGACTGGAAGAATTAATATTAAAATGTCCATACTACCAGAAGCAATTTACAGATTCAGTGTGATCCCAATCAAAACAGCAATGACATTCTTCTCAAATCTAGAAAAAACATTGCTGAAACTCATATGGAAACCCAAAAGACCCCTAATAGCTAAAGCAATCTTATACAACCAAAACAAAGCCAGAGGCATCACAATACCAGATTTCAAGACATACTACAGGGCAGTTAAAATCAAAACAGCCTGGTACTGGCCAAAAAAAAAAAAAGCTTGTAGACCAATGCAGCAGAATAGAAACTCCAGAAATCAATCCACACATCTAGAAACAACTAATCTTTGACAAAGGAGCTAAAATCAATCCCCAGAGCAAGGACAGTGCCCTCAACAAATGGTGCTGGGAACGTTGGATTTCTGCAGGCAGAAGTATAAAACAAGACTCCTACCTTACACCTTGTACAAAAATCCATTCAAATTGGATCAAAGACCTAAATCTATGACCTGATACCATGAAATTACTAGACAACACTGGAGAAACTCTCCAAGACATTGGCATAGGCAAACACTTCTTGTAAAACATCTCAGAAGCACAGGCAATCAAAGTCAAAATAGACAAATGGGATTACATCAAACTGAGTAGCTTCTGCACTGCAAAAGAAACATTCAGCAAGAGGCAAATGACAAAATGGGAGAAGATATTTGCAAACTATGAAACTGATAAAGGATTAATATCCAGAATCTATAAAAAGCTTAAGAAACTGAACTACAAAAAATTAAACAATCCAGTTAAGAAATGGGCAAGGAACTTGAGTAGGCATTTTTTAAAAGACGGAAATTCAAATGGCCAACACACAATGAAAAAATGCACAGGATCACTAGCCATCAGGGAAATGCAAATCCAAACCACAAGTAGGTTTCACTTCACCCCAGTCAGAATGGCTCAGTATAGAAATCAATAAACAATAAATGCTGGCAAGCATGTAGGGGAAAAAGGTACCATAATCCACTATTGGTGGAAATGTAAACTGGTGCAGCCATTGTGGAAGACAGTATGGAGGAGATACCCCCAGAAAGCTGAAAATAGATATATCATATGACCCAACCATCCCACTCCTGGGAATTTACTGAAAGGAAATTAAATCAGCATATGAAAGAGTTATCTGTACCCCCATGTCACTGCAGCACAATTCACAATAGCTAAATATGGAATCAACCCAGATGTCCATCAACTGATGTACTGGTAAAGAAATTATGGTATATATACACCATGGAATTCTATTCAGAGATTGAAAAGAATGAAATCCTTTCCTTCACAAAAAAATGGATGCAACTGGAAGCCATTATAGTTAGTGAAACAAGCTAGTCCCCAAAAGACAAATGCCATATGTTTTCCCTGATCTGTGGTAACCTAAAATGTAATGTATTGGAGTGAAATTGACATTTTGAGATTCAATGATTGCTTACAGCCTTTGTTTGTACTGTTAACAGTTTTTTTTTTCATACTATTTGTTGAACTCTTTACTTAATGTAGCATTAATCTTATGAGTATAAACTGAAAATAGATTTTTGTAAAAATTTACAGTGTGATTAGAAGAAGGAGGAGGAAGAAGGGTGGGTGCATGTGTGGGAGGAGAGTATGGTGGAAAGTATCAATATGTTCTTAAACCTGTAAATATGAAATACATGAAATACGTATATTTTAAATATAATTTTTAAAAATAGAAAAAACACAAAATGAAATATACTTTTACCAATGAGATGCTTGTATAGAAAAATTAAAAATAAATATCCATAAAAAAGAGTTCAGTGTAAAACCTTAAAATATAAAACCACTAAAGGAAAGCACTGGAGAAACTCTGTGTCATTAGCTTGCGCAAGAATTTTCGGGGGCTGGCACTGTGGCATAGTGGGTGAAGCTGCTGCCTGCAGTGCCGGCATCCCATACGAGCACCGGTTTGAGTCCCGGTTGCTCCACTTCTGATCCAGCTCTCTGTTATGGCCTGGGAAAGCAGCAGAAGATGGCCTAAGTCCTTGGGCCCCTGCACCCATGTGGGAGACCTGGAGGAGGCTCCTGGCTCCTGGCTTCAGATTGGCACAGCTCCAGTTGTTGCAGCCATTTGGGGAGTGATCCAGCGGATGGAAGACACCCCCCCCCCGAACTCTGCCTCTCTGTGACTCTGCCTTTCAAATAAATAAATAAATCTTTAAAAAATAAAGAATTTTGGACAAAAACATACACAAAACTTGGACAAAAGCATACAGGCAAATGAAGAAAATCTAAGACAAACAGGACATCAAACCAAAAATCTCCTCTATAGCAAAGGAAATAATCAAAAGTGAAGAGACAACTAACAGAATGAGAAAAAAGTCCACAAACTATATGAAAAGGAGTTAATAACTTAAAACATACAAGAAATTCCAGAGCTCAATAGCAAAATATCCAATGAGTCGATTAAAAAATGAGAAAAAGAACAGACACCTCTCAAAAGATGATAAATAGATGACCCACAGGTATATGAAAAAAATGTCCAACACCACTAATTATCAAGGACATGCAAATTAAAGCTCAATGACAAATAATCTCATTCCACTTAAAATGGCTATTATCAAAACACAAACAAGCAAAAAAAAAAAAACCAGCAACAACAACAAAAGCTGGTGAGGATGTGGAGAAAAGGGAGTTTTTTAAAAAGATTTATTATTTGAAAGGCAGAGTTACAGAGACCGAGACACAGGGAGACAGATACAGATACACACACACACACACACACACAGTGAGAGACAGAGATACAGTCGTCCACCCGCTGCCTCACTCCACTAATGGCCACAATGGCTGGGTCTGGGACAGGCCAAAGCCAGGTGTCAGCAGTTTTGGAAGGTTTCCCAGCTGGGTGCAGGGGTCCAAGCCGTTGGGCCCTCCTCTGCTGCTTCCCCAGGCCATTAGCAGGGAGCTGGATTGGAAGTGAAGTACTGGGAACTTGAACCAGGCCCATTTGTGATGCCAGCATCCAAGCGTAGGTTTGCCTGCTATGCCGCAATTCTGGCCTGGCTCCAAAAGGGATTTTTTGCTAAAGATTTATTTATTTATTTGAGAGGCAGTGTTAGAAAGAGAGCGAGAGACAGAGAGAGAGTCTTCCATCCGCTGGTTCACTCTCCAAATAGCCCCAGTGGCTGCAGCTGAGCCAATCTGAAGCCCGGAGCCAGGAGCTTCTTCTGGGTCTCCCACCCGAGTAAAGGGGCCCAAGCACTTGCTTTCCCTGGCCGTAAGCAGAGAGCTGGATCAGAAGAGGAGCAGCCAGGACATGAACTGGTGCCTGTATGAGATGCCCACGCCACAGGTAGAGGCTGCTTGTCCCTCTAAAGGGATTCTTACACACTGTTCATGGGAATAAAAAGTAGTACAGCCACTGTGGAAAACAGCACGGAGGTTCTTCAAAATATTACATCTTCTAAAACTTACGTTGTTTGACAAAAAAGCAACATTACATTGCTAAAGAGAGTAGAAGGTGAGTTGGCCATTTGGTGCAGCAGTTAAGATGCTCCTAGGAGGTACAAATCCCCTAACAGAGTGCCTGGATCAAGTCCCAGTTCTTCCACTTCCGATCCAGTTTCCTAACGCACATTCCAGAAAGCAGCAGTAATGTTTCAAGTATCTGGGCTCCTGCCATTCAGGTGGAAGACCCAGATAACGTTCTGGCCTCCTGTATTCAGCATGGTCCAACACCGGCTATTGTGGGCATTTGGAGTCTTGGTCAGCAGATGGAAGGATCTGTCTCTCTACCTTTCAAGTAAAATGAAAATATATACATGTGAAAAAAAAAAGAACAGAAGTCGAAGAAAAAAATACAAGTTATAATTCCATTACTACTTCTTTCTGGTGTATTTTTCCAGTTGTTTTTTTTTTTTTTTTGAACGTTTCAAAAACTGTACTGTTAAATTGTTTTTAAAGGTTTGGGGTTGGGGCTGACTCTGTGGCTTAGTGGGTAAAGCCGCCACCTGCAGTGCTGGCATCCCATATGGACGCCGGTTCGAATCCCGGCTGCTCCACTTCCGATCCAGCTCTCTGCTATGGAAAAGCAGTAGAGGATGGCCCAAGTCCTTGGGCCCCTGCACCCCTATGGGAGACCGGGAAGAAGCTCCTGACTCCAGGTCGGCTCAGCTCCAGCGGCTGCGGCCATCTGGGGGGTGAACCAGCAGATGGAAGACCTCTCTGCCTCTACCTCTCTGTAACTCTGCCTTTCAAATAAATAAATAAATCTTAAAAAAAAAAAAAAGTGTAGGGTAAATCAGTATCCCTGAATTTAGGGTTTCTGAAAGTAAGGCTTTGGGACTGACAGCTTAAAAAGTAGAAGGTCAATAAATATTTGCTCAACAGTGGCCCTTTTGACTAAATAAAGCAAGAAATGTTTTCGTTTTGAGAATTCAAGCGCTTTCTTTAAACCGAAAGCGAAACAAGTTTCTTTTTTCTCTTTAACGAGAAAAAAAGGAATAACAGAGCAACTGAGGGAACAAAGAAACTTCTTATGCACATTCGGACACCCAGGGCTTCTCAAGGTCAGCTCCTCTCAATCCAGGACGACCGCCCGCACCAGCGCTTGCGCATGCGCAGGAACCTGCAGCACCGCGGCCCCGCCTCCGCGCCCAGCTCCCAGGGACTGTGTTCCCGAGACACCGGTCCGACGTTCTTCCTTCCGCCGCTGTGGCTCGCTTCCGTGCAATGGCGTCTGGGCTGGTGAGGCTGCTACGGCCGGGGCCTCGCTGCCTCCTGGCGCCTGCAGCCCCCACGCTCGTCCCACCGGCTCGGGGAGTGAAGAAGGGGTTCCGCGCCGCCTTTCGCTTCCAGAAGGAGTTAGAGCGGTGGCGCTTACTCCGGTGCCCGCCGCCGCCTGTGCGCCGGTAGGAGCCGCCTTGGGAAGGGGTCGGGGACCCTGGGCTTCCTCCCCGGCGGCGGATGCGGCCCGGTCTGGAGCCGAGGTTGGCGGTGGACACCCGTGAAGTGTGGCCGCGTGGCTTGAGGCGGAGGGGCGGGATTTATGCCGCTTGCGTGGGCGGTGCCGGCCTACCCTCGCCCGCACCCTTGATGCTAGGGAACTCCATTTAGAGTCTCGCAGCTGGAAATTGCGGGAGGTGGTGGCCTTTCTGTGGACGCTGAGGGTTGTGACCGCGGCTTTGTAAAACTTGAGAATTCTTGGGGTGCGGGGGCGGGGGAGAGGCGGGAGCGCGCTCCGCAGCATTGCCGCCTGCAAGCCCGGTCCGTCAGAATCAGGCTTTCTGTTTCCGCTCTCATTTAGCTTTCCCTCACGAGAGAAAGGTTTGGCAAAAGGAGAGGCAGAATTTTATGTCTCCCAGTGGCATCGTTCGCTCCCCACGCGGATTCTTGCTTTTCCTCGTGTCTCTGGCCAAGGCATTACAAATATAGGTGGATGCTTCCCTCACCCCCGTCTCTTTTTCTGGGCCTTTGCGTTTCTTACTGTTGCTTTCACAGGCAGTGTGACAGTGAATATCTTTGAAGTTAGGTCACCTCTGGGGACTTGAATGTAGTGTGAAATTCGGATACCTGCTTTAATATCGCACCACTCAAATGTCCATCCGGTTTGTACCCCTAACAGTAGGAACACTCAACACGCAATCCTACGTAGGTCCTTTTCTTAATAGGCAAAAGTAGAATCTCTTTGTAATATTTATTCATTTATTTAAATGTCAGAGTTACACAGAGAGAGGAGAGGCAGAGAGAGAGAGGTCTTCCATCTGATGGTTCACTCCCCAATTGGCCACAACGGCCGGAGCTGTGCCAATTGGAGGTCAGGAGCCAGGAGCTTCTGCCTGGTCTCCCACGCAGGTGCAGGGGCCCAAGCACTTGGGCCATCTTCTGCTGCTTTCCCAGGCCATGGCAGAGAGCTGGATTGGAAGAGGAGCAGCCGGGATTCAAACTGGCACTCATAGGGGATGCCAGCACTGCAGGTCTGGGCTTTACCCACTATGCCACAGTACCAGCCCCAATTTAACAATTAACACTTAGATGTACATCAGTGATTACCCGAGGCACTTGACATGAATTCCAGTCTTACAATATTGATAATGGATTATTTAACTGACTGAAAGGGATATTTTCAAAACCTAATAAAATACAAAGTAAGCATAATGTATTTATTGTTGGTGGCCTGAATCTATGAAAATATGATTCAGGTTTCATACCTAGATGGAACATGAAGTTCTAGAATTGGAACAGAAATAAAGAACCAAAAAATCAGTTCAGTGGCTTAATCTCTGAAATGGAAATGTGGTGATTGGGTCAGAGGGAAAAGTAATCCAGCTGTTTATGTAGGATATGGTAAAGGACTGCCAGGATTCATGCCGCATTTAGAAAATCAGCCTGGCATGAAGAAGCAGCATGACCCGCTGAGAGTTTGGTCTGGCAGTGAGCACAGCACGTCCCATATTAGAGGGTCTTCGTTCACATCCAGACCATGTTCCTGATTCCAGCTTCCTCTTATGCAGACCCTGGGAGGCAGCAGTTGATGGCTCAAATGGTGGGGTATTTGCCACTTGCTCAGAAAGACCCAGGTTGAATTCTTGAATTCTGGTTTCTGAGTGGCACAGCCCCTAGCTGTTACAGGCATTTGGAGAGCAAACCAGTACATGGGAGCGATAGCTCTTCTCTCTGCCTGCCTCTCCCCTCTTCCTCCATCCCCCCCTCCTCCCTGTTTGCCTTTCAAATAAGTTAAAATTTAAAAAGAAACATCCTTTTGTCATTTCCTTTTAGTAATTAATGACGTTACAATACAATGAAAAATTTTTACATTATATTTAATAACGTTTTGTTTTCTTTACCATCTCTTTTTGTTTTTACATTTTTAGCTCAGAGAAGCCCAACTGGGATTACCATGCAGAAGTACAAGCTTTTGGACCGCGGTTACAGGAAACCTTTTCCTTAGATCTTCTCAAAACTGCATTTGTAAATAAATGCTATATTAAAAGTGAGGAGGCCAAACGCCAAAAACTTGGGATAGAGAAAGAGGCTGTGCGTCTGAATATTAAAGATAATCAGGAACTATCTACACAAGGTTCATCTTTCTCACGGACTTGCCTCACACAGTTTCTTGAAGATGAATACCCAGACTTGCCTGCCGAAGGCATTGAAAGTCTTGTGGACTTCCTCACTAGTGAGGAAGTCGTGTGTCACGTGGCTAGAAACTTGGCTGTGGAGCAGCTAACACTGAGCGCAGACTTTCCTGTCCCACCCTCGGTGTTGCAGCAGACTTTCTTTGCAGTAATTGGAGCTCTGCTACAGAGCAGCGGCCCCGAGCGGGCGGCGCTTTTCATCAGGGTAGGTAATTATTAATTACACGGTGCTTGGCCATGCTTGAGGTGAAGACAAGAAAATTTTCCTTTTGAAATTCACCTCTTAGATATGTTACCTTGGAGGTGAATATTTCTCCCACCAAAAACCAAAGAAGGCCCACAGCTTTTTTATGGTAGGCTCTTAATTATTCTAGCTCTCTCTTATTGAGGACATCATCAGAAGCGAATATTCAATGCTGAGTTGTGATTCATGAAGAGCTGTAAATCATGTCATTTTCGGCTTTAGATTCTTAGCATCAGGGGTAGTGCCTGTACAGTAGGTATTAGTAGGTGTTTTGTGAATGAGTGACGTCCGAGAACATGCAAGGACTTAGTGTGGCTAGGAGCTTCGTGCTTAAGTGCCAGCTGGCTGCTGTTGTGCGCTTCTAAGTGATGGGGTCTTGGATTTCTGAGCTCCTGTGAAGTGCAGCTCTGTGTTAACCAGTAGCTTAGCTGAATAAAATCCTCATGCAGTTGGTACAACTTGACTGTGTCCTAGAACTTACTAACTGGGAGGAGGTCTATCTTCTGCCATTAGATGAAAACAGTTTTGTTCACTCTTTGATAATAAAGAGGTCACATTAAGTCATGAAGAGAGTCTTGATTCAGATATTTGAATGTGAGGGCCCTTAAATGATCAACACTTTCTGTGAAAATCTGTTCATTTAGTTTTTATACCAAGTTTGATAATCTTGTTAGGGATAGATATACCTGTTTTAACCAGCAGGTTAGACTTTGTTCTTAGGTGAGACCTACCTTCCTCCTTTCCTAGCTAGGACCTATAATATAATAGATAAGCTACACCTCCCCAAATGGCTGCTCCTGTAATTAGATAGCTTTTTCTAAAGAAATGGTCATAAAGTCCTCCTTGATCTCTATTCTCTCTCCTGCAAGCCTCTATAGAATTTTAAAGCTAAGGACATTTTGATCACCTTCTTGAAATTTTTGTAGGATATTCAAGAGATCATTTGGGAATTTTTTTTTTTTTTTACCATATATTAGTGTTTCTCAACTAATGATCCTATTAACCATAGATAATTCAAATATAGACAAGAGTACTCAAAAAGTTAATGGAAGATGTAATTAAAAAGCAAATTTATTTATATGCAGAAAACTTTTCAAAATCAATGCTTATGAAGAGTCTTTCAAAAGATTATGAAAAATGTATATTATGAAAAAACTGCATGAGTTTCAAAATTTTTATTCCAAGATTAGTTTTAACTCCCATAAATTCCAATTTTTAAGTATTATTTATTTGAAAGAGATACAGAGGGAGGGAGGGAGAGAGAGAGCAAGTGAGCGAGCGAGCGAGCAAGTGAGCTTGCATCTACTGTCTTACTCCCCAGAAGGATACAATGGCCAGCACTGGGCCAGGCTGAAGCCGAAAGCTATTTCCAGGCTCTTCCACATGAGTAGCCGGGGCCCAAAGAGTTGGGCCATCTTCCACTGATTTCCCTAGGCCATTAAGAGGGAGCTGGATCAGATGTGGGAACAGCTGGGACACAAACTGGTACCATTATGGGATGCCGGCATCTCCGGTGGTAGCTTTACCTGTTATGCTACAACATTGGCCCCTTTGATGAGCCTTTTGAAGTTTCCTGTATTTCTGAGAATCAACAAGTTGGAATTATCTTTATTCATTAATCTGCTAAAAATTGATGGCTAGGTACTTTGCTGAGCTTTGGAGCCAGAAGTGAATTAAGATGAGCCATAGCTCATTGGGCAGGTTGAGCAGAATAGGGAATTTTTTGGATTTGAGGATATTTGCATAAAGCATGAGCATCCCTAATCTGGAAATCTGAAATTCAAAATGCTCCCAAATCTGAGACTTTTTAGCATTACTTTTAGCATGCTCAAAAAAGTTAGATTTTTGGAACATTTCAGATTTGGGTGGTTTTATTTTCTTTAAGATTTATTTATTTGAAAGGCAGAGTTACAGAGAGGCAGAGGCAGAGAAAGAAAGATCTTCCATCTGCTGGCTCACTCTCCAAATGGTTGCAGGCGGCTTTACCACCCGCTATGTCATAGCACCGGCCCCATAACTAACATGTTGTGTATGGAGTTAAGCTGCTGCCTGCTAAGCCCACATCTCACATGGGCTCTGGATGTGGCCACATGAGTAGCAGGGGCCCAAAGAGTTGGGCCATCTTCCACTGATTTCCTAGGCCATTAAGAGGGAGCTGGATCAGATGTGGGAACAGCTGGGAAAATAATGGAGGATGGCCAGTGGATTGAGGGTCTCTCTCCCTCTCTATGTCCATCAAATAAATAAATCTTAAAAAAAAGCCTCCTTTTAAAAAAAAGTACTTTGAATAATGAGCCTTATGTTGTTTATACTAATTTAAATATTTAAACCATATTTTTATATGCAGGATTTCTTAATTACTCAAATGACCGGAAAAGAACTCTTTGAGATGTGGAAGATAATAAATCCCATGGGGCTTCTGGTAGAAGAATTGAAGAAAAGGAAAATTTCAGCTCCTGAATCTAGACTTACCCGGCAGTCTGGAAGTACCACAGCTTTGCCTTTGTATTTTGTTGGCTTATACTGGTTAGTAAAGTTTTACTATTAGTTTCTTAAATTTGACTGGGAGACTTTTCCTTAATCTAACCTCTAATTACATTAAAATATTTTTAAAAATCTTATCCCCATGAGTATCTACTGTTTCCTCTCTTGCCAGTCAAACCACAAACACATCCTTTGTCAGCAGTTCATAGATGGCTAGCAGAAAAAAAAGTACATTATTGCTGTGAATAACTTTGATAAAATACCAAGAATCTAAAATTTTCATATCCTTTGATTTACTATTTCTTTTCTTTTTTTTATTTTTTAAAAATTTATTTATTTATTTGGAAGACAGAGCGAGGTCTTTCATCCACTGGCTCATTCCCCAGATGGCTGCAACCAACCAAAGCTGGGCTAATCCAAAGCCAGGAGCTGCTTCTGGGTCTCTCATGTGGGTGCAGGGGCCAAGTACTTGGGCCATCTTCTGATGCTATCCTGTGTGCATTAGCATGGAGCTGGATCAGAAGTGGAGCAGTTGGGACTTGAACTAGGGCCCATGTGGGATGCCAGCACTGCAGATGGTGGCTTTACCTGCTATGCCACAGCACCAGTCCTTTCTTTCTTTCTTTTTTTTTTTTTTAAGTTTTATTTATTTGAAAGGCAGAGTTAGTGGTTTACTCCCCAATGGCCTCAACGGCCGGAGGTAGGCCAATCCAAAGCTAGGAGCCAGGAGCTTCCTCTGTATCTCCTGCATGGCCACAGGGGCCCAGATACGTGGGCCATCTTCTAATGCTGTTCTGTGTGCTTTAGCAGGGAGCTGGATTGGAAGTGGAGCAGCCAGGACTCAAACCAGGGCCCATATGGATGTTGGTATCAAAGGCAGTGGCTTTACTTACTATGCCACAACTCCAGCCCCTGATTTGCTGTTTCTAATGGTCGGTCTTAAAATTGCAGACTGAAGTTTGTGAACAAAGATTTTCCTTTCTTGTTTGAGTATTTCTGCCCTGTTCCTTGAACAGTTGCTGGGACATAATGACCAGTAAATACTTTTTGAACTGATAAAAAATTAGAAATGTTTATATTCAACAGGAAGAAATGACATATGGACACAATAGAATAAATTACAACTACTACAGACGGCATATTAAAAATGTTTATTGACACTAGGAAATTTGGGAAAGTGATGAAGTAGTTTACCATGTTACTATCTGATTTTTTTCTTGGATACTAATTTTTTTTTTCAGATATTATGTAGTGACCTTAAAGATGATATGATAAAATATCAGCATCATTGGACTAACCACTCTGATTTTCTCTGTTTCTAATTTTTGCAAATATGTATGTGTATATATTGGCCGGCGCCGCGGCTTACTTGCCTAATACTCCACCTGCAGCACTGGCACCCCGGGTTCTAGTCCCAGTTGGGATGCCCTTTTCTGTCCCAGTTGCTCCTCTTCCAGTCCAGCTCTCTGCTGTGGCCAGGAAGGCAGTGGAATGGGCCCTGCATCCACATGGGAGACCAGGAGGAAGCACCTGGCTCCTGGCTTCCGATCAGCGCAGCGCCGGCCGCAGCGCACCGGTCATAGCAGCCATTTGGGGGGTGAACCAACAGAAATAGGAAGACCTTTCTCTCTGTCTCTCTCTCCCTCTCACTGTCTAACTCTGCCTGTCATAAAATATATATATATATATGTATGTGTATATATGAGTATTAGCAAGCTTAACTTACGTGATTAACTATTGCTCAATTACTGTCACAGTAAATATTTCTCAGTGAATTCCTCCCATGTTACAATTCTTTTACCTAGTGGGTTATAAATAGATAAAATATTTTTTAAATCTGAGAAAGTTTTGGAGATCTAAAAATAATTTAAAAATGGATTTGATTCTCATTGTGTTAAATCTTAAATGATAAACTCAAAAGACAATTTTTCAACAGAATTTTCCTCAAGTTGTATCACATATTCGAAATGAACTAAAAAATCCAATCAGTTGCCAGGAGTATTAGTAGTAGCTATAGGTTTTTATAAGAAGATGATTATATATCCTAATTTTCCCAATAACAATTAAAAATACCAAGGAGATACCCCAAAATGAAACTAAAACGTAAGTTTATTTTAGTGCAAAAACATTGGAAATCCATGCAGTTTTTTCATAAAACTCATTTTCCATGAACTTTTGGAGCCCTCTCCACATACAATGAACTTGCAGCAGAACTAGCTAAAATCTGAAAAGACAGAGTGGGCATTTGGCCTAGGGGTTAAGAGGCGTGGATCACTCAAGAGTATCTGGGTTTAAAGGCTGGCACGGCCCCTGACCACAGCTTCCTGCTAATGTAGACCCTGAGAGGCAGCAGTGATGGCTTGGTTGGGTTCCTGCCACCACATGGGAGACTTGGATTGGTTCCTGACTTTAGCCCCATCCAGGGCCATCATGGGCATTTGGGGAGTAAACAAGCAAATGAGAGTGCTCACTTGCTCACTTGCTGTCCTCTCTTTCACCCCTCTATAAAATTTTTTTTAAATCTAAAAGATGATAATATCTAAAGTAGTGTGTTTCTTCTGGTCATTTAAAATAAGACTTAGAAGTTGTAACTAACTGTTTTGCGTACTGTATTATGCACCATGTAACTTAGGACTTCTCTGTCTTTCCAGTGATAAAAAGTTGATTGCAGAAGGACCTGGGGAAACAGTACTGGTTGCAGAGGAAGAAGCTGCTCGAGTGGCACTCAGAAAACTTTACGGGTTCACAGAGAATAGACGGCCCTGGGACTATTCCAAGCCCAAAGAGAGGCTGAGAGCAGAGAAGACCATCACTGCCAGCTAGCCAGCCAAAGATGTGCACCCTAACATACTTCATCAAAGCTGTGAGACAGTCTCCCAGGTGTTCAAGTTGTAGAGAAACATCTTGTTCTTCATGCTTTGCCACTAAAATTAAATCAGTGTTAGTAAGGCTGTTTTGTTTGAATCTTGTTTGTTTTGTTAAAAGTCTTTTAAAAGTATTTTTCCAAGAAATTTTCCCTGAAGTCCTTGATTTTTATCATTGTATATAATTTGTACAATTAGGTGTATTCCCCTTTAGTTTTGTGGTGTCATAATTTGAGAACCCATGAACTTTTTTGTAACACCAATAAAAAAGTTAACTCTAAATGTTATGTTACAGTTTAATTTGATATACCCAGGGGTGCTTGGAGGTTGATGAGCTTTGCTTCTCCAGTATAATTTGAACTCTTAATGGTAATCTTAGGGCTCTCTTAGAAATACAGAGAACAGATTATGAACAGAAAACTATTTACCTGATTTCTAGATTTTGTCTAAGTTAGAATTACATGTACTTTCAATATACTTCCTAGTGATTGAATTTCTGTAAAATAAATGGCAGAAAAGTAAATTTTACACTTTTAAGAAATTGCCTTTCTGAAAAAAGAAACTCAAAAGCAACTTCATGGAAAAACAATGTATTTATCAATTCAGTTTAATATTACATAATAACAACTACTGGGTACCAGCACATTCAATTCAGTAGAGAACAAATCAGAGAGAGTGTCCTTTTGGCTCTTTAATCTTTTTTTTTATTTTTTTTAATTTATTTTATTTTATTTTATTTTTTGACAGGCAGAGTGGACAGAGAGAGAGAGACAGAGAAAGGTCTTCCTTTTCCGTTGGTTCATCCCCTAATGGTTGCTGTGGCTGGCGCACCGCACTGATCCAATGGCAGGAGCCAGGTACTTATCCTGGTCTCCCATGGGGTGCAGGGCCCAAGGACTTGGGCCATCCTCCACTGCACTCCTGGGCCACAGCAGAGAGCTGGACTGGAAGAGGAGCAACCGGGACAGAATCCGGCCCCTCGACCGGAACTAGAACCCTGTGTACCAATGCCGCAGCAGAGGATTAGCCTATTGAGCCGCGGCGCCGGCCCTGTTTAATCTTTTGTGTTCAATTTAGTAGTTCGTTTGCAAGTTTCCTTTCATTTATTTTAAGTCTGCCAGTAGTAGCTCTCAGGAATTAAAGCGGTTCTTGGAGTTGAGAACAGAGATCTAAAATGCAAAAACCAACAGCACTTTTGTCCTGGAGTGTAAATAAAGGAAGATTAAGGACCTATGAAACACCTTTCCCTGAGACTGACTAGGGTAAAGTAGAACTTAAGTCATATGTAAAGGAGTTTACAGCTATCACAGGTATTAGGAACTATGTTTGGAAGAGAAAATTTGAGAAATGCCTGCTTGGCTGAATTAGTAGGTACTTCATCTTTTCTTTTAAGAGTTAACTCCAGCTTCTGTTGAATGTGAGGAGAGGAAGGACCAACCTAGACCCAATAGTAGTAAAACACCACTGATGTTTGTCATCCACAATAAGTTAATATGATTTTAATACTCATCTTGTTGATATTTTAAGAGGAAAGAGATTATGAAAGTTCCTGGGAAGCAATACAGTGAATGTCTTCCAACCACTTACTTATCCAGTATATATGAAATGTGAAATTCTGGCAAGAGTACTATCCTAAAGATTAGAAGTCTTTAGTGAATTCAGTTGCAAACTCAATAATCCTTTCTCCCACATAGATGATGTGGGAAAAAAATCCCAAATTTCTCCTGCTCAAGTCAGTTTGCAGGTCCTTAACCAGTATCACTGGAGGCAGACTGTCATTATTCTTTGGGTTTTTAAACATTTTCTTTGTGTGTGTGTGGGAGAAATTTATAGAACATTATTTCACTATGGAAAACTGTATAAAATATATGACAGTCAAAAGAGATCAATGTTTAACAAATATAAATGTAATTTCCTCAGAATTACTCTAAGAATTATTTGCCATTTCAATCAAAGTCACCAGTTCTTTTTCACATGTTCTTTTATCACTTATTTTATTTAAGGAATACAACTTCATGCATGTAATATGTACAGATTTGGAAACATGGTGCTTTCCCCTCCACTCCTTCCTACCCATAATCCCACCTTTCTTCCTCCTCCTCCTTCCTTTCCCATTCCTATTTTTTAGGGAGATCAATTTTCAGTTAATTTTTATACTCATAAAATTAACCCTGCACTAAGTAGAGTTCACTGATTCGTATGAAGGAAAAAAAGCTTAAGAAGAAAAACATTGTTCCCTGACAGTCAAGGCAAGAGTTGTTCAAAATCACTGCATCTCCAATTGTCAGTATTGCTCCTATAGATTACATTTTAAGTACTCTTTTAGTTACCACAGATCAGAGAGACCATATGGTATTAGTCTTTTTGTGACTGGCTTATTTAAGTATAATGGTTTCCAGCATCCATTTTGTTGCAAATTAGGATTTTTTTTTTTTTACTGCTATGTTGTATTCCATATTGTATATATACCATAATTTCTTTATCCAGTCTTTAGTGGATGGACATCTGGGTTGATTCCATGTCTTAGCTACTGTGAATTGAGCTGAAATGAACATGGGGCTACAGATAACTCTTTAATATGCTGATTCATTTCCTTTGGATAAATTCCCCGGAGTGGGATTGCTGGGTCATATAGTAGGTCTGTATTCAGATTTCTGAGATACCCTCATACTTCTTCCACAGTGGCTGTACCAGTTTACATTCCCACCAACAGTGGATTAAGGTTCCCTCCTCCCCACATCCTCACCAGCATTTGTTGTTTGTTGATTTCTGTATGACAGCCATTCTAACGGGGGTAAGATGAAACCTCATTGTGGTTTTAATTTTCATTTCCCTGTTGGCTAGCCAGCTTGGGCATTTTTTCATGTGTCTATTGGTCATTTGAATTTTCTCTCAAAAAATGTCTGTTCAGGGGCCAGCACTGTGGCACAGTAGGTTAATCCTCCACCTGCAGAATTGGCATCCCATATGAGTGCAAGTTCTAGTCCCAACTGCTCCTCTTCTGATCCAGCTCTCTGCTATGGCCTGGGAAAACAGTGGAAGACGGCCCAAGTGCTTGAGTACCTGCACCCACGTGGGAGACCTGGAAGAAGCTCCTGGTTGCTGGCTTCAGATCAGCTCAGTTCCAGCCATTGTGGCCAATTGGGGAGTGAACCAGTGGATGGGAGACCTTTCTCTCTGTTTCTCTCCCTTTCTCTGTAACTCTACCTCTCAAATAAATAATTAAAATCTTTAAAAATAAAAAAAAAAACTCTGTTCAGTTCTTTTGCCCATTTATTAATTGGATTGCTTGTTGTTAAGTTTCTTGAGCTCTTTATAGACTCTGGAAGTTAATCCTTTGTCAGTTGCATTGTTTGCAAATAATGTCTACCATTCTGTTGGTTGCCTCTTCATTTTGCTGAATGTTTCTTTTGCAGTGCAGAAGTTTCTCAGTTTGATGTAATCCCACTTGTTAATTTTGACTTTGATTGCCTATGCTTTTGGGGTCTTTTCCAAGAAGTCTTTCTCTATGTCTATGTTGTATAGGGTTTCCCTAATGTTCTCTAATAATTTGATGTTATCAAGTCATAGATTTAGGTCTCTAATCCATTTGAGTAGATTTTTGTGTAAGGTGTGAGGTAGCGGTCTTGTTTCATACTTCTTCATGTGGAGATCCAGTTTTCCCAGCACCATTTGTTGAAAAGACTCTTGGCTCCAGGAGTTGAATTTTGCTCCTTTGTCAAAGATAAGTTGGTTGTAGATGTGTGGATTTATTTCTGGAGTTTCTATTCTGCTCCATTGGTCTATCCATCTAGTTTGGTGCCAGTACTAGTCTATTTTGATTATAACTGTCCTGTAGCATGTCCTGAGGTCTGGTATTGTGATGCCTTCAGCTTTTTTTGTTGTTGTTTATGATTGCTATAACTATCTGGGGTCTTGTGTTTCCATATGAATTTCAGCATCATTTTTTCTAGCTCTGAGAAGAATGTTGTTGGTATTTTGATTGGTATCACATTGAATCTATAAATTGCTTTCAGTAGTATGGACATTTTGAAGATGTTGATTCTTCCAATCCATGAACATGGAAGATTTTTCCACTTTTTTATGTCTTCTATTTCTGTCTTTAATGTTTCATAATTTTCATCATAGAGATCTTTGACGTCCTTGGTTAAATTTATTCCAAAATATTTACTTTTTTTTTATAGCTATTGTGAATGCGATTGATTTTAGAAGTTCTTTCTCAGCTGTGACATTGTCTGTGTATACAAAGGCTATTGATTTCTCTGTGTTGATTTTATATCCTGCTACTTTACCAAACTCTCTTTTGAGTTGCAACAGTCTCTTTGTGGAGTCTTTTGGGTTTAGTATATATAGAATCATGTCATCAGGAGATAGGAATAGTTTGACTTCTTCCTTCCCTATTTATATCCCTTTGATTTCTTTTTCTTACATGATGGCTCTGGCTAAAACTTCTAGGACTATATTAAATAGCAATGGTGAGAGTGGCCATCCTTGTCTGGTCCTGGATCTTAATGGGAATGCCTCCAGTTTTTCCCCATTTTGTAGACTGCTGACTGTGGGCTTGTTATAAATTGCTTTGATTATGTTGAGGAATGTGCCTTCTATACCTAGTTTGCTTAAGGTTTTCATCATAAAAGGGTATTGGATTTTGTCAAATGCTTTCTCTGCATCTATTCAGATAATCATGGTTTTTGGTCTTCAGCTTGTTAATGTGGTTAATCACCTTTATTGATTTTCGGATGTTGAACCATCTCTGCATACCAGGAATAAATCCTACTTGGTTCAGGTGAATGATCTTTCTGATGTATTGTCAAATTTGATTGGCTAGTATTTTGTTGAGGAATTTGCATCTATGTGCATCAGGAATATTGGTCTATAGTTCTCTTTCTCTGTCATATCTGTATCTTTTTCTGGCTTGGGAATTAAGGTGATGCAAGCTTCATAGAAAGAGTTTGAGAGGATTCCCTCCCTTTCAATTGTTTTTAGATAGCTTGAGAAGAATTGGAATTAATTCTTCTTTAAATGTGATAGAATTCTGCAGTGAAACCGTTGGGACCTGGGCTTTTCATCTTTATTACTTATTCAATCTCTGTCTTAGTTATTGGTCTGTTTAGATTTTCTATGTCTTCATGATTCAATTAAGTAGGTTGTATGTATCCAGGAATTACCCATTTCTTCTAGGTTTCCCAATTTGTTGGCATATTGATCTTTGTGTTAATTCCTGATGATTACTATTTCTGTGGTATCTGTTGTTACATTTCCTTTTTCATCTCTGATTTTGT